TGTGGTGTAGAACAGTACGTGTTAGGTGATGGAACCGTGACCATGACCCATTGTTCAGCCTATTGTTTAGCATGACTAACGGGAATTAACAATTTCCCATATTGACATCCTGTATTATTAGCCCATGACTGAGCAGTATCATGGAAACCACGAGACGCCACTAAAGAAAACACTCTTTCTCAAAATCGTTCAGTACAGCCCGGCATTTTGGTTTGATGCACTTGAATAAAGGAAAATGGGCAAAAAACCTAGTCAATACATGGACTCATATTCCTTCATGAAAGGGATTTCCAGAGATATTTCGCTGACATGTTTAAGTAATTCATAACCGCGTAATCTTGGGTTAGGGGAGAGGTGAGAAACGAATTTTGGTATTATTCTACAGATGGACCCTTTTCGGCCCGATTGACTATAACCGTGTAACTGAGCAGGTGCAAATCAGGTTTAGGTTCAGAGGAACGCATCAGAACCTAAACTTGCGGGTAGCTATTAGCCCGACGTATCGTAAAGTTCTTTAGAACTAAGGAAAACGTGAACACTGGGTGTTCTAAGTACTCACACTTATTTCCGCCAGATGGACGGTTTTGGAATCAGGGGTGCATTTATTAGGTCATCAATTATATTCCGGTCAAGGAAACTATTTTGTGTTTACAGTTCCTATAGCTATAACACATCGTTGTCTTACTCAAGGTGAAGCAGGTCAATAGGCCTGCACTAATACTGGGCTCTTCACCAAGATACGTCAGAAAGTCTAGATTTAAACTGATTTTCATGTGACGTGACATCTGCCTGACAAAGATTACAAAAACATATAGTTGATTCAAATTTAAACGTGACTAGTTTGGTTTCACCCTCTTCTTCGTGAGCGACTAAGGGATACGTGACGCACAAGGATGATGTTAGAATACGTGATGTGATGCCTGAGAACAAAGTGACTTAGCAAATTTGATTTAATACACTGGTAATGAAAAGTTATGTATCAAAAATAGCATCACACTTGGGAGATTTTTTCGTAGAACCTAGAATTTCTGGAAAAAAAATCCGTAAATTTGATTATGTCCGGTCATGTACGACTTCTATGTAACACAGTAGAAAATAAGTCACACTTTTCTACTGTTGGAGGCATACTGGAGGCGCGGGCTGAACAAATTAAATCCAACTGGGCATCAAAATAATAACTATAACAAGTACTTTGAAACCTTTCCATTTATCCATCCAGTTGAGTTCCTGTTTGACGGAGACGAACTCAAAGGGAAGAAAAAAGTACGCACATAACACATTTTACGTTTTGTTCTTACATACATCTTTCTAAATATTCACTTTGAGCTCATAAGTGAAAAAAAGTGAAAGCTTCAAACGTTTTTTAGCCAGGAAACGGTGGAGAGATTGCGAAAGCGTTCTCTTTGAGAAGAAATGGGCTGAAATCGTGAAAAATCACATGGAAAATTTTTTTCCCGAAAAATTCCTTTGACTTGCGAAGTCAAGCGTAACTTATTTTGTAATGTAACCCGACGTGTTATCCGTTTGGCTTTTAGAAACACAAGCATGATACAGATAACGAAGGGCGAAAACTAATAATTCACTCAATATTCTATTTTTTAAATAATCCTTATCATACTCAATTCGTTCAAATTCATAAAATGAACGCAGACCAGGAAGGAAGACTCAGACTTTCACGAAGTTTTATTTTTACAACCAAAATTTTATTGAAACAATCTCAGAATTTTAAATGAAAACAAACCAATAAATATGACACCGTGGAATAGGATGGGTTCAGACATTACAACTACCTATCGGCGTAATCAGTAGTGTATACACTTGTCTGATAAATAGGTTTGCCTAGGCAGGCCACGTTAAGGGTTCAAAGTTGGCGACTGGCGAAGTCAAGTGTTCTTTGTTGAAATGTTTGAAAATCAGCACCAAGACAAATCAATTGATTGATAAGTGATTGGCAACCCCGGGCAAAAACGTGAGTTACGACACGACTGTGACGTCATATAATCCGATGTAGCAGAGTATAGGATAGCAAGTTTATTACTCAACTTATTCGCCTTTCGTTTGCAGCGACTGAGGTCGACTTCGACAACCAGTTGTGGTCTTGACAATTCATTACTCGTCCTCAGCCAACTGTTTTGAGATCAAGGAACAGAAAGCAAGAGGAAATAAGTCATTATTTTCAAGGTTTCATTGGAACCATGGCTACCAAGAACTGGACGTTATTACGCGAAGCGATTTTGAAAATGAACAAACAAAGATACTTGTCTGTGATGCAGGGTAGAAATAAGTTCACTACCTCAACGAATTCAAGAACACTTTATCATAACACGAACAAGGTTACTGATACAGGATTCCAGAAAAAGGAAATTAATAACCCCGGAGAGGGCTTGCATAGGAATGAACTCGCAATTACAGGTAAAGTGATCAGATCGAAGTCTTTTTAGTTACGTCTATGAGCCTGGTGGAAGATCATTTTTGCTCATCATTCTTACAGATTATACTTTTGGTGTTACACTATTTCGCACACGTTGTCTCTAACATTCTCCGTCAGTCTAATCATAAATATTTAAGTTAAGATCAAGCTTTCACTTTTTTGTGTACTTTTGTTATGAGGAAATAAAATAGAAGGGAGGAAAGGAGAAACAGTCCACCCATAGGCGGTTGTTGTTATATACCAGTGACCTGATGATATATATATTTATTCTATGGTATATCTAATCGTTAGTTATTTTTTTGCACATCGCTCCTTTGTATCGGCTTTACTCTTATTGGCACATTGGGCTGGTTTTAATAGTTTAAAAGCCTTGACGGAAACGGGTCATGGGAATAATAGAGGGCTACAGAATTTTTTATATTTACTCGGATCTTCGTTACTAAATTGTCCATGAAAGAATTAAACAGGAATCTGTGGTCGTCTCCTCTGCCGGGATAAACAGATGTCTAAACCAGTTATACACTTCAACCAAGGGTTCAGAACCTGACAGAGAATTATTGTTTACTGAATTCAAATAGATATAAGTTGGTAGTATGTTATAAGTAATTTTTTAATAAAGATGGCTATCCGACCACACACTCTAAAAAGTGAATGGTGGATCAAAGCCAAGGAAGGAAATAAGTTTACCCGCTGAAACACGCATAGTTTGTAAAAGAGTAACAGCCAAACTGAGATACGATTCACTTCCTTTTGATTTGACACGTTGTACGTAATTGTCACGTAATGCGTGGGTGTCTTTGTCACGCAATGTATTAGCAGTAAACAGATTAATAGCTCCATCGCAGTTGCCTATCTTGTAAATCAGTTAAGCCTAAATACACCTTGGGTGATGTTCTTGGTATTTATCTCCCATCAACACACAAAAACTAAAAGAAAATCTCAGCCTTAGCCATGATATTCTCAACATTTTGTTCCCGAAATTTCGTCAATTTCTGCGTCGATGGTCATGTACAAGGTGCATTTACATGTAAACAAAATGAAAAGAGATTGGTCGCTAAAGAACACATATTTCAAATAAATTCATTGAGCAGACTTCTTTCACCCAACAGGGATGATGTCAATGGCAGATTTTCCTTCTGCACACTCACAGAGATCCAAAGACCTAGTTTCCACACAGACACAAAGTGGTTTGGAATGTAGGCGATGCTTGACGCATTTGGCGCTTGGGACCACACGAGAAAAAACTCACAATGATTCTGAAGATAACACGAAAACCAAAGAATCACTTTGTGGACTTTTATTCAACTGTTATGTGCTCTGTCTCTTCGTTCTAGGTTCCTATATACCTATGGATTAATTAGCTGGAAGATGTGTAGAAGCCTGATCGCATTTTTGCTTGAGGGCGATTTCAAGATTAACATCGGCAGCCATTAGAAATCACCCAATATATATATAATATGTGTTTAAGCTAAACATTATTCCTCTATGAGGAATGACGTGGTTCTACAATATTTGGTCACGAGACACGTCCTAAATCAATGGCGCACAAGCAAATATATTATGCAATTCAACTATGGATATGTTCTTCCAGAAAATTGGAGTTCGTAGTTGTACTTGGGGAATATTGATAAAAAAAAACTTTAAAATCTTTCTTGATTTTAGAAGTCCTGTTGGGTTTTGCTGTAAAAATAAGACTTGTAAAAAGATTTTTATCAGGCAATTATTCAGCAATAAGAAGTAACAGAAAGAAAATATCTGTAAAAAATTATGTTGTTTATTGAGTAATTTTCAAAAAAAGAAACGCGTAGAATCTGAACGCTTCTTGAATGTCTCTTCAAATTAAATTCATCAGAGAAATATCAAAGCGCAAATAAATACATTACATATAAAAAAATCACTTTATTCGGGGAAATTCATCCTCTATTTCCTTTTCTCGCTCTTCTTGCGTGTAGACTATGGTGCAAAAGGCAAATGAAATAAGATTTGTGTTAAGAGGAAAAACCCTAATGACACAGAGTGTACTAGGTAGTTGCACAGTGATATAATGCCGCGGAAAGTTACCATTCTAGGCTCTTACTTGGCGTAGAAGACACAGTATACGTCACACTATTGTTTTCATTATTTTCTTATTTCCGGTTGTGATGAAATTCTATTTTGACTTATACTGTGTCTTCTACACCAAATAAGCTTCGCGTCGTGGTTTCCTACGCTTATCTCGTGTTCTCCCAACCTCCCGCGTGTTTACATCAGGCTATGTAAACACGGAAACCATTTTACATTTCTTCAATGAAGCACTTTTTCCGACGATTTCAGACTTAAAAATAATTTTACATAAATTACCTTACATAAATTACTTTTTCCATACATTAAAACTTGTAAACTATTTAACAAGACTTAAAGTCTTGTTAAATGGTTTACAAAATTTGAATCCTCTACCGGAAATCCCAGAATCTGTATGATGTTTTTTGCTAGTATGTTCGTAGCTTGCAATTTATCTCAGTCGTAAATACAGGAAACAAACACTGAATGAAAGTTTTTTATTTTATTGAAATATTTCATTGTAAATTCTACTTACGCTATCTACGTAAAAATTGTTAGAAATCGGGCTTCAATATTATAAACAAGCACTAAAGTACTTCAACTTTCACTTGATAAAATATTTTTTTTAAGCATGAACCATTGCCATAAAGAACTACATCTAACGATACACTTTAAACCGCTAATAAATATATTACTAGAAATTTTTAATACATCAGTTTTTCATTAGGCTTGTGTAAAAGTTAACAGCTATTTAATAATACTATCTACCATGGAATACTCCATAAAAATTGCAAAAATAACAAATAAAATTAGTAATGGAACTCTCCTGTGCTTCTCCGGCAGACATATTGTGTTAAAATAAAAATTCAATGAAACCCTTCATAAAATTCTACTTCAAAAGAAATCAGTAAAATAAAAACATCACATATGCAGTGATAGAAATTTATCAATAAAATATGACAGTATAAATGCTTCCCACTGTTTGAAAATGATAACAATTAAAAAAGGAATATTATGCATAAAAAAAAACAGTGGTAACAATGAATATTTCAGTAAAAATATCAGATTTTAATATTGCACTTTAGAAAAGGGGGCTAAAAGTTACAGTATCTTCATTCTATGAATTTAGTAAAAACATCTTAACTAGTAGCATTAAATAATTCCCAACAATGTAACCTAATTTGTTTCTTTGTCCATGTTGCAATTGTCAAATAGCTAGATTATAGCTAGCCCCATCTTATCCAAAAGAAGTCACCATGAGACTACCATACAATTACTTTCTTGTTTCTGCTCAATAAAGTTGATCACTGGGAAGTCATTCCACAATTGTGCTGAATCATTTTGGCCCACTAGCTCTGACTTTTCATCTGTTGCTGCATCTTTGCAATCATCTCTTGCATTCGCCGAAGCTGAAAATCAATCATTCAATCAAGTTTGTCACTCCCTTTGCTTAATAACTGAATATATTCATCCATCAGCCACTGTGTCAGACAGTCAGTCAATAAGTCAGTCAAGAAAGTAGTTAGCTGGTGAATCAATCAATTAATAAGTCAATTCATTCAATCAAAAAACCAACAGACAGACATACAGACAGGCAGACAATACAATCAGAGTCATTCAGTAGGTCAATCACTTAATCAAGACATGTTTGCCACTTTTTTTGTCTCTCTTGGCTAATTACTTACCTCCTCCTCTTTCTCCATCAAAGCACGGTCTTTCTCCATCATGGCACTTGTGATGTTACGAGCTCTGAAGTCAAGACAATTAAAAAGCATTTGTTTAGAATGATTGCACTTTTTAACAAAGTGACACATAACATCACATTTCAAACATGTCAATGCACCTTTTGCCATTCCTTGGAGCATCTTCAACATTCCCATTTGAGAGCTCAGTTTCACCTGACAACTGAGCTGCTCGGAAGTTCTCATAATGACTTTCCTGTGTCACTTCCTTGAGGTCCTGCATGTGAGTTCTGTGAGAAAAGATCAATTGTAGGATCAGCTTAAGACCCAGGTTGTCCATCCTGCTAGAGCCCAGCCCACTTTCAGTAGCATGGAGTTACTATGATTGTCCCTACTCACTCCCCCGATCCTTCCCCCTTTAACCCTGCCCCTCCCCCCCCATGGGAAGCTGGTCCATCAAACAGTTACCTGAGTTTAATCTTAAGGCTTGTAAAGGGAGACATATTTTTAAAGGAATTGTCAGCTTACAGTGTATGTTTGTTTGACTGTTTACCAAATGACATTTAAAGAAAAAAGTTTGAGAGACACTTACACAAGCATAGTGCGTAACTTCACAAAGTCACAGTGCTTTGGGTTTTCAACTGAAAAAAAAGGGAAAAAACACTCTGTCAGCAATGAAAGCTTTCATATTAATACCTATAAGCACTTTGGTACTTGACTACATTCATATCACTAACATGTCCTACCTTCAACCACTCCCCAAGGGTAAAGCCGTCCTCGAACCTTCTTGCCACACACCTCTATCAAAGTATTACTTCCTACCACAGCAAATGGCATGCTAGCCTGATAATTAAAAAAGCAGAAATGTAATCATGACTATTAAAAACAAGCTTTCTTTAGCTGCATGTCAGGTATAATGTTCTGAAATGTAAAAATGTTTGTGTGTTTAATCCATAGCCTCTAAGTGACAATCAGCAAACGACACACTAAAGAGGTCAAGCTTAAAGTTTGGACAGAGTGGTTCTTGGAGCCTTATCTGTAGAATAGTTTGTCCCTGGCCAATCTACTTCTCTTGTTGGCCACTGGAATTTAGTTAGGCCTTAGAAGGGAGGTCCTCTACAAACATCTTACAGGCATTTTAGGGCATGCCAATTGTTTAAATATGGGCAATTTTCACATTAGTTTGATCAGGAAGGGGGGTCGTGTGTACACCCTTAGACTACCCTCATGGTCATGCACTTGTGTCAGGTTGGGGGGTTGTGTGATTCCCTCACCCATGGAACCTTACCTTACAGAGAGGATGCCAAACTGTTCTACAAATTATGCTGAATTTATCTAAATTCATCACCTTAAGTTGTTTTGTTTGCTCTACGTATTCTTCATCTTCATCACTTTCACAGTCTGGGAGCTCATAAATTGTGATACCTTGTTCCTCAATTTCATCTAAAACCTAAATGGAAGAAAATTTCATAAAAGGTAATGAGAGTAAAAATTACAATTAAGAAGTCTAAATGTGAAAACAGTCAAAGGTAACAGAACAGTCAACTTCTCTGTCAGTCACTCCTCTTAACTAGAGTTCTATATTTACACATAATTATATTTACACAAGTAGTTACAGTGCACTCGCAATAGTAATATTAGCGGTTGATCATTTATTGTCCCTAAACTTGCTGGACCTTGAACCTACCCTTCGTTTCATGCTGTTCAGTTCAGCTGGAGTGAGAGTGTCAGCCTTTCCAATAACAGGAACAATGTTAACTTTGTCATGAAGCTGCTTCATGAACTCAATATCAAGAGGCTTGAGTCTGAAACCAAATTCACCATGAAACTCAGAATACTCAAGTTGACAAAATAGCTACAAAAATGTTTTTTTATTCCTCTTAAAAACTGGTAGCTAAAAACATAACAAACCCATGTCCTGTTGGAGCTATAAAGTAAAAACAGCAGTGTACTCTTGTGTCCACAATGTGCCGGCGATTCAGTCCTGATTCATCTTTAAGGTAACTTTCAAACTGTTCTTTAACATAATCCAGAATGGGTTTGAAACTGATAAAGAAAAAAGTTACATGTAACTCTGTTTAAATATCTAATAGGTTAGAATAATTCTACTTTTAAAAACACAGAGTGGTCAGATAATGAACATAGCTGCACAGAGTTTCAAACACTTAGAGTCAGGCCCATTTTCACTGTCTTTTGGTCTGCTTGTTTGCATTAAGCAGCTAACTCTTGATTATTTTAATTCCAAACTACATAAACATATTTCATAAATATTAAACCTACATGAGTACAAACAGTCACCTCCTTTGTTACTTAATCCCTATGACCCTTTTGCATACCTCAACAGTCTTTTCATTGATATATCTTGATTGTGTCCCATATTTGATTGTCACAAAAAGCATATTTTCAAATAAAAATGAACATCTGAAAAAGACTGATGACAATTTACATCTCTCCTTCCCTATTACAGCCATCTCTCCATAATAGCACTTTCCTAAGGTAGCTGTTGTGAAGTGTAACTTTGTAACAAAATGTAACCTGTCTTTATTGTCCATGCCATCCCCATATCCAGGAGTGTCTACAACAGTCAGACGTAACTTCACCCCTCTTTCTTCGATTTCAACGGTTGACGTCTCAATCTTCACTGTTCTTTTTACACAATCTGCAAATTTAATACATGTATCTCTTAAAAACCGACTTTGAGGTCAGTACTGTAAGTTACAGTTCAAGTTTTTCCCCCCTGGGATCTATGGTTGAAGTGTGAAGCGCACTGGCCATAAATCCAAGTGGAAAAAGTTAGGTTCCATAATTTACAGAACAGACCAAGAAATTGAGGTTAATAAGATATTTATCATTTATCTGAGTTCAAATGGAGGAAGAAGATTTCAATTAAAACAAACTTTTTAATTTAGAGGGCCATAAAGAGAAATACAGCTTGCTAGATTGACCAATCATTGTGCATGCATGATAGATATTATATCAGGTTTTAGAGTCAGGCCAGTCAATAATATGTGAAAACTAAATTTTCTTGAGAAGGCCCAAAGATTTTGAAAAAAAATAGTATGAAATTAAAAATTTAGGTCACACAGGCCTCACCAGCAGCTTTGGGTAGTTTCCTGTCAGCATAAAGGTCTGTTAAAAACAAACTGTTGACGAGTGTTGACTTCCCCAGCCCTGATTCACCTGTAATGCGAGGGTAACAAATTAAACAATTATCAAAGGGGTAGAATGGACCCTAAGATTTTAGCACCAGGTTTATAACATTTATTTCCATGAAAATCATATCGGAAATAAACTACTCTGAAGCTGTTGTATTTATTCCAACATACTATATATGTTGCAGGCATAGGAAACTCAACCAGTTATTTATCCTGCCTGCAACATCGGCTCCCACTCAGACTGTGCATATACAGGGACAGAATTTGTATGAAAAATGAATGAATAACTACTCACAAGTATGTAACAATTACACATCACTTTCATCATATCACATTTGCCATCAGTCTCTAATCCCACACTTTGTTTGTAGGGTATTTTCTATGTGTGACATATTAAATAACCCCAATAATTTCCTTCTAACAAAAGATTCATCTTTGTTAATTTGCTGAATGTTGTTCATTTATTTCCTTATGCCAATTTTTTGGCAACAAATTGAAACTTGTCCACTGAGGTCAACAAAACTGAAAATGCCCACAAAAATTCCAGTAGTTCAAAAATTTCAATTTGGTTCATCAGAGACCCAAAGATAAAATTTAAAAGCTTCTATAAGGATTGAATAATGAAACTTGTATCAGTTTAGGAGAAATGAAAAAATCCTATTCATTCAACAGGTTAACATTATTAGAAGAGAACAAGTGAAGGTGCTTACCCACAACCATCAAAGTGAACTCAAACCCTTTCTTGACGGATTTTCTATGGACTTGATTTGGTAAATTAGCAAAACCTACGTAGTTGGCCATGGCTTTAAATTCCTTTAGAAAAGAAACATGAAAATATAAATGAAATAAAGATTGCCAACAATAATTGCTTCAAATTGGAAAGGCCTACATGTAAATGTCAATAAACAGGAAATGAATGAATCGATTCTTCATTTTGAAAATTGCACAATAGAAAGAAATTCTAATTTGTTCCTCTAAACAGCATAAATAATACTTCACTGTAAAAATTCATAAAAAAAATGAGGCTACTGACATAATAAGGCTGAGATCATACCATGAATTAGTCTATCAAGTAAAAATTTTCCCTTATAGAAGACAAGCTCGAGAAGTGAGGTGTTGAACACAACCAATAAGATACAGGTCATATGATAACTTAATCTGTTGAGTTTGTTTATGTTGGTCTCAATAGATTATATAAATTGAAATGGTCATCTTGAGGTGTAACCTTCCAAAAGGTCAACATTCTTGAAGATTGAATCTCTGTGTTCTTTTGTGTAAACATGTAAAAAACAGGAGCCATCTTAGAAAGTACAATAAGAAACTGAATTACCTTTTTTCAAGAATACAATAAGCTAAAAAAATAATACTCTCAAAATTCATAAAGAGGAATGGTTTTAACGTTGATAGACCTACCTAATTTAAAAACAGTAATCAAGTAATTGATGCAAAATCTACAAAACTAACCTTATGTCCCTTTATCTTTGATACATAGAAATTGTGTCAAAATATATTTTTGAATTCAAAACTTTGAATGTTATCTTGAAATTTAGTAATATCAAGGCAATATCAAAAAAATGTTTACCAGTACATTGAAAAAAAAAATGGAAAATCTTATTATGAACAAACAGCTCTCCATGCAAACAATTTACAGAATCCTTTTTTTTTTCACAAATAGATTGACAAAACTAAAGTAATCTCAGTTACATTAGTCTACTTTCAGAGGAAATAAATAAGGTTGGGCATGAATTATTAAAATAGCTTGGTGGAAAGATTTACAATCAATGAAAACCATTAAATAAACTTCTTATGCCAATATCATTATTGAGTCATGTTGCAGTCCATGATGTCAACAGAAAGCATGCATAACAACTAATTTCACTTCTATTCTTGCAAAGGAAACCTACACCTAAGCCCCATAACTTTTAGCTGTTTTTCGTGTTTGTTAACAATGACATGTGACCTAAATTTTTTTTAACATTTCCCAAAGTTTTTCACAAATATTTCATATTGTTGATAAATAAATATATCATAAAGTGTTCTCAATATCTAAAATGCAATATTCCTGTATATCAATATTGTTCACAAATTATGAATATTGTAATGAATTCAAGATAAAAAGTAACAGATTTTCGACCAAAATTATGGTTAAATTGTCCAAACATACCTCAAAAATAGCATTATCCGCTGAAAAAATCATTATTCAATAATCATAAAACAATAATTAATTATTTAATGTATACTGGATTTTAGAACTGCAAATAAGTTGAAATCATAGAAAGAACCATGTAAAATATGATCAATTATCAATTGCTGCATTCAGCCCATTTTCAAACTTAGAGAGCATTTTCCCTGATAGATTTTAGAAAAAGACGTTTCAAAATTTCAATTTAAGTTCATTTAGACAGATAACGACAGCGGGGGTCGGTTTAAAGTTTGATTTGGTAATGACACAGTACATGTGAGATGACAGCTTTGCATCGTGTTAATTCTAAAGAGCAACTCGGTCAAATCAGTCGAGATCCATTACATGTAAAACAAACCGCCGACTGTATCCATTTCATATCATCAATACTCCTTAATCTGCAAATTTAGTGCCAGAAGCATGAAGGACAAGAAAACACGAAATCACAAACTTCAATGATATGAAATATAAATATCAACTGCAATTGTAGTCAGACAGGATTCTTGAATCAGGTAATTCAAACCGTTAAGGAGAGCGATCTGCCCATTCCTTCACAATTATGAGTCAATAAAACCAATTTAAAACAACCCCTTAAACAAGAAATCGCGTTAGCTAGTTTCGATTGAAATTATTCCAGTTTTCAGATTTCCCGCGCGCGATCGATGCATGTTGTGCGCACTCATTCGAAAATGTTTTCGTGCAGTCTATCAAGAAGGAATATATCTTATGATTCTGATCAAAGTACATTGCTTCATTTTCTTACCTTATGCTCAACAGAAGGTAGGACTTTGTACGTGACGGTTTTCACTCGGGTGAGGCCAATTCAAGACTAATAGGATGACTTCATGTGTGGATTTCCCATTCACCTTTGACAACGAAGATTCCCACAGTTCCTAGCGAGGCGATACTTCGTGATGACCACGCGCGGAAACTGCGAGGGATACGATCCAAGCTAAAATGGTTTCGTTCACATTCAACACTGACATCTTATTTCTTGGCCAATAGTACGCGCGCTCTGATTGGCCATAAAACCATTTTACATGAGTGTATGTAAACACGGTTTTCGTTCCCCTTTCATTAGTTATTTTATAAAAGAAATGTAAAATGGTTTCCGTGTTTACATGGCCTGATGTAAGCACGGAAACCATTTTACATTTCTTCAGTAGTCACCAGAGGATGTGCTGACAGCGGCTCTCTCCTTCATGATGCGCAGATCCGAGAGATAAGCCATACTAAATCAATGTGACTACTTAGTCATCTGCTTCAAATGAGCTTCTTATCTTAGATGACGGATCACCAAAAATAAATTTGATTGTAAAAACGGACGGACACAAAAAAAAATAAATAAAGGGGGTAAGTTTCTGAAGAAACTGTGGTGCTGCGTTAGAAGGAAAATATAACAGGGTAATTTAGTATTATCAACTGAGTTGATAACGTAAATTGGCCACCATGAAGAGTTTCGAAGCTGAAGTTCCGAGCGTTAGCCCTTCGTCAGAGCGAAAGTTCTGGGTTTCGCGCAAGTATTAGAAAACAATTTAGCTTGTAGGCCCTCACTAGAATGGCTGGATAAATAATTGATACGGAAAATGTGTAGCAGGTGTTGATGACTTTCTTAACAAGAACATCTAAAATTCATAGTTTTCTGAGAACGGTTATCGTTAAAGATGTTCCTCTGGTTATTATTTTTTGTAAGGGTAAAGCAGATGTTTAGAATAATGTAAAGGTCGAGTAAGAAATTTGATAACATTTGGATCCATATAGGAGACGGAAAATTGCGGGTTATTTAACTTTCAGTGTGGTAAACGAAGCGAAAATTTGCATATCTTGCTTTCAAGAAGAAATTAAAATATATGTGCACGGGTTCTTGGCAGGCGTTCACATTGCATGACCCTTTACGTAATTTGATACCAATGTTTGCATGCGGCAAATGATTTCTAAATAAAAAGTTGACATGGTTACATGCAAATCACATCGCAAAAAACAAATATTTCTTTGTACTTGTGACGAGGTGTGACGAACACGACGAGGCCCACTGTCGCTGCTTGAAAAGTTTCGCTGTTGTAAAGGTGCTTAATTGAAAATTTTCAGCAATGAACGGTGATCTTGTCGAAGAAGGAAAGGCGAAGGCAGCAGGAATAATTTCCGTTCTGGTTGGAATATCAGCGTTTATTCAGCTAATATGTGGATTTATCTACTTGAGCAAGGGTGGACCCGAAGGTTCTGGTCTGTGGTCTGGAATTGGGGTAAATAACTCTTCGTATATCATGTTAAGCGTTGATTTTAAAGATATAAGCCAAATAGTGACCCTTGCTGATTATTTTTGAACAGCATTCCTTTCAACGAAACCTATTCAGAAAACGATAGGCGTGAATTTAGCAGCTTCAGGACCTTTCAATCAACCCGTTCGTTAACCGCTTTGCAGTTCAGGTGTTTTCGTTCCGGCTAAACTTCAAAATACCCGACCACTTTGGTCCGTCTCACTCGCATTTCCTCGACCTTATTTCTAAACTAAAATCAATATCCAATGTTGTTTTAAAACCGAGTGAAACCTCGAAATATGATGTGGTAGTCTTAGCAAATCGAAAGTCATCGTGTAATTGTCTTCATACCGCTCAGAGCCAACCCCAACCGAGGAATTGATTGCGATACAATAACGGCTTAGAAGTCTTTTGAAACACCTTGCCTTTGATAGTCCTCACTGATGTCTATTTTTACAACAGTGACTTAGAGGTTAACAGCCTTTGAAATCATGATTATTAAATGCTTCCTTGGTTTGTCCAACGCTTAGAAGAAAGTATGATCAATCGAAAAAAAAAACAATTTAGTCACACAGCCAGAGCAACTGTCTCGGTAAATTATGGAGTACTGAATGATGCAATGGCAAGTCGCAGCCGGTCGAAACATTCGAAATAAAATTTAAACAAGGGAAGATTTGAATTTCCAATTGCGCCACTGATTGAATTAGCAATCGCTTTCATATTCATGAATCAGCGAAGTCAAAATTTATTTTGAGCAAATTTTCCTTTCCACCAAACTTCTAAGACCAGTGTGAGGGGTTAGGATTTTGTTTTACTATCATAACTGAAAGATCGGCGTTATTGTTATTTTTTGTGTCTCGAAAAGCTAGACCAAAATAAATATTGACGCACCGTAACAATCGTTACAAGTAATTTCTTTCCTAGCGCAAAAAAAGTGGATCACATGATGAGTTTTGCACGGAATTAATGCATAAAAAAATGATTGACATCCTGAAAACAGACGCATTCCAGCTTTGCGTCGTAAAACATTAGACATTACGACAAGTTACGAGTCAGGCTCTGCGTGACTTAGCTCAAAACATCTTAAAAGGCTAAAAAAACGCGGTTAAACATCCATGCCGCATCGTTTTTCATTACTTTGCGCTATTTTGCGGCTCTGTTCGATTCATCTGGCCGTAATCACATCTGTAATCATAAACGTTCAGTCATTCCATGTTGATAATTACCTCAAGCAATTGGTGAAAAAAAACGAACAAAATGTCGCCCAGTATGGCATACTATGGCACTGATGTATGGCGCAGCGAACTCGTTTCGAATTTCACTTTTTACGTGAGCTCTTCAATCTTGACAACAGTAACTTACTCACCGTTGCTGAAATTTCAAGTCCACCTCTACATCAGAAATTAATATGAAGGCAACTTGATGCCTTTTTTAACGCTTATGTCAAATTTAATTTTTACCAGCTTATGTAAATCTTGTATAAATTGATAGACTTGGGAACCCGAGTAATTATATAGGCTGTAAACAACCTGTCGCAGTCGAATTGGCAAAGCTGAGAGGATAAACCTAGTTTATACATAACACATCGAGTTAATTCTCGCCTTCTTGTACACTTACTTAAGACTGTGTTAAATTAGATTTCCTTCTACGGACAAAAATGAGCTTCTTCTTTGACATATTTTGCTCACGAGGAATTAAATCCTCTTTGAAAAGCGGTTTTTTTTTTAATTTAAACTTGGAGAGCACCTGGTAACGTTCTTCTGTTCAAATGCATTACATGGTCTGACAAAAAGAGTTATTCTCAGTTTTGTTTCATGGCAAAATTTGTGCTTTATGCTGTAATAAGAGGCAGTGCTACAGTGGGGGGAAATTTTCAACGAACAGCAATATCTGTCTATTGTTTCGTTTGTGTTTTTAATTACTTTTGGCGAGTTAATATTATGCAAGGAATAACAAAGTAATAAAGATACAAAATGTCGTCTTCTCCGAAGTGTTTGTTTGTTTTATTCAAAGTTACGTAAAAAGTGGAGTCACAATCGCCACAAGTGTAGTATAAAGTAATGAGTTTTGAAAGAGTTGTGGTGTTGGTCTCGGCGAGCAGGAGAAAAATTTATCAACTAGATATTGACTTCAGAGGTAATTTTCAACAAACAGCAATATCCGTTTCCATTGTTTCGTTTGTGTTTTTAATTACTTTTGGCGAGTTAAAAATGTTAAAAGTTAAAAATACAAAATGTCGTCTTCTCAGAGGGGTTCGTTTGTTTTATTCAAAGTTACGTAAAAAGTGGAGTCACAATCGCCACAAGTGTAGTATAAAGTAATGAGTTTTGAAAGAGTTGTGGTGTTGGCCTCGGCGAGCAGGAGAAAAATTTATCAACTAGATATTGACTTCAGAGGTAAGGAAACCGCTCAGCGGTCGACGAAAAAATCGACGCAGCCTAATGGGGCAAAGAATAATTTTTGAAAAGCTTAAGTTTAAACCAGTTTCAGGATCTTCCTCAGATCAGTAGACTACCGGTACGAAGAAAAGCCCCCAGTCAACAGTGATCGATTTTTCAAAATCCGTCGCGGCGACTGGACTCCGGACTTTTCTACCTACCAAGGAAGAATTCAGGGGGACATTCAATTGGTCGTTAATCGCAGTTGTCGATTTTCAAGTGACAACTACATGTCACAATGAGCCGACTAGCGCACGAACGCGTCTGGCCCTGAAATGAAACATTCACAAGGTTAGGATCAAAAAAATAGCTCCAAACAGACAAGAAAAAAAACACTTCGTTCACACTTTCATTAGTTCTTTAGTTCACCGGTTCGTCTGATCCGTTTTTCAGTTGATCAGATCAGTAATTAGTTACCTTGTACCTTTGTGTTTTCCGATGTATTTTGCTGCATAGGTTAATTTTGACGTATTTTTTCTCTGACTGCATAGCTTGCCGTTATTTGTGGTCTCGGAATTCTCGTTTGGTTGAGGAAAAATAAAACAGCGGTAAGTAGAAAAACAATAGATGCGTAAATATGCTCACGTTTTCATTACACACTGTCACCTCCGCATTGTCATTTATACATTCCCCTAGACCTAGGAGTCGCGGGTGGGATAGGGGGACTATGCTGCAAAACAGGGTGTGGTCTTAAGGGTCTTGCATCTCTCTCAAAGTGGGTAGGTATGGTGAAAATAATTCTTTTCCACTAACGAGGCAACAACGTGAAAAGCCCATCCATGACTTCCCTTAACTAATCCCCCAGGCCTGAAGTGAGTGGCGCGAGTGTTGGTCGAAGTTTCCCACCCCCTTCATTCTTCCCCATCTCAGAAAAGAAAGCAAAGACAGTGCACAACATTGAGGCGATAACTTGATTTTTACGGTGATTTTATGCCTTCCAGATGGTGTTTTTCTTGGTGATGAACATCCTGTGGTTTATTGTGTGCCTTGTCCAGATCATCATCGCCTTCATCGCCTGGGTGATCTGGCACTTCATAAGGAAGGTGGTTGAGACGAACTGCTCTCAAAGAGGAAGCACATGCCATTGTCAAACCGAAAAGGAGGAGCCATGGCCAGGTAAGTCTGTGGAGCAAAGATGGATTGTCAGTCGTGCAGTCAAAGATTATGAAAAAGTGTTTTTTTGCATGCATTGTTGCTACTTTTGCCTCGACTGTTCCAACCGCAGTTGCGACTGCTAGTGTTTCTATTCGTTTTGTACATGATTTAAAAGAACGATAGCATATACATTCGACTCTCGCCTTACGGAAACATCGCTATTACAAACACCCCGCCATTGCGAACAAGAGCCAGTCCCCCGGCGAAACGAACAGGGAGATGAATAAAACAAACTCCCGTTATTATGTGATGTACAGACTACCGCTTTTACGGAAATGGGGATACCTCCATGCCCCCCCAGCGCCACACTTCACTTGATTTATTTCTTGCTATAGCGGACACTTGAGTATTTCGTCCGAAATCCTGACTCACATAATACAAAGCGACATTACGATACAGGAGTGAAAGCCTTTCTTCAATTACGTGCGAGCGTGAGAATTTCCTGCTTGCGGCCGGATATTTTTCTGGCTTGTGAGGCCACGTTAGAAACTTTATGTTTGCGTAGTAACATATTATTTCATATGTTGTTATTTTTCTTTCCTCTCGAACCCCGCTATTACGAACTCTCGTTATTACGGACACTAAATCTTCCCCCGAGAGTATCCTCAATAACGGGTGTCGACTGTAGTTTGTAGGATACAGAGACATTGTCTGCTCATGAAATCCATCATTTTTCCTTTCACAGTGCACAACTGCGATGACATCAGAGTCATCGAGAGCTGCTTCCTAGCAATTCTGATTATGAGTGCCTTTTCTGCCATCCTGACCCTGTCTGGTTCAATTATTGGTTGCATGGGAACATGCTGTGCTAGGCCAGCTGTAAGTCACGTAATCTTGAAATGAATGTTACGCAATCCTATCATAATAGTAATTTTCGGGTTACGAGTGTTTGTAGCAAGGGAAGGGAAGAGGTCAGGGCAGTATTTTCTCACCGACAAGGAAGTTAACATCGTTTACGGAGAAGATACTCGATACCCGGACTTCATTAGTTTCCATGCCGGGCATTTCTCAGTTCAGTTTCCACTAGTGTTGAACAAATAGAAAAATCAAAAACTATTCGTCCAAAAGAAACTGTAGGCGTAACGATGCATCCACATTGCACAGCCAAAGACAAAGAAAAATGGTTTAATTTGAAAATAGCTTCATCCCCGCTTCCGAAGAAGTGAAGAAAAATAAAATTATCACCCTCTATGTACAGTGTTTCCGATCTAGTGCTCTCCTCTCATATGAGGGCTCGAGGGCATGCCGGGGTGTCATGATTGAAAAAGACTACTTTTCTTGTCAAAAACGCCCCCCCCCCCCCTCCGTGCCCAAGTATTTCATTCGAAGCTTACTGAGGCCGTAAGTTCTTGACTGATGCACGAATTCGTTTTCACAGCAGCCCAACGTGGTAGTGATGCAGCAACCTACTGGGTATCCTATGGTGATACAGCAAACCACAGCTCAGGGCTATCCTGCTCAGGGCTATCCTGCTCAGCAGCCATACCCAGGCCAACAACAGGTGGTGATGCAGCCACCAGCCGGTGCCGGGGGTCCCCCACCTGACTATGGGTTGCCACCAAAGCAATAAACATCAAGTGTTGAGTTCGCATCCCATAGCTGTTTTAGTTTAACTATTTTTATATGATAATTTCTTCGATTGACTGTGTAAAAACTAATCCAGAATTCCAGTTGTCTTCGCTATGTTTTTTTTTAATTGGTCTGTAACATTCCTGTCACCTTGTTGACCAATCAATAATGATAATAGGACCGAGAGGAGTCCAACTCGGTCTGTAATCATACGAGTGATTAACAAAATCGGACGACCGCGAAGCGGGAGTCGAGTATGATTACTGACAGAATTGGACGACAAGAAATCCTGTTACCAATTAATCATAACCATTTCAATTTCCGAAAAAACAAATACGCCTAAAACAAATATCTCCAGTGGAGACAATGTCTTTGGTTAAATATTCTCCATTTTGGAAATTGTCTTGTTTTTCTTTGGATGAGTGGTTGTTTCTATGGTTATTGTGCTCAATTCTGTGATTGGTGGATCTAGCTGAGTGGATATAGTATGATTGGCTGCTTCAACTGTCCGATTACAGCCAGCTGTCTGATTACACTGTCCGATTACATCTGTTCATAATGATTAGTGAAAAATGAAGCAGTGATGCACTAATCACATTTGAGGAAATTGTAATGGTTATGGTCAGACGGAAAATAGGTCGTTGGCGTTACCTTTGAGTTTCAGTTGGTGCGCCTCTGCTTACTTTCACAACATTCATTTGAAGTACCCTTTGTTTTTTAAGATCGTTTAAGTAAAATATAGATACAAGTGCTATGGGAGATGGTGAATTCCTTGTTTGCTGGTATTTACAAAAACCATTGTTATGTTAGTTAGCTTGAGGTAGTTGTTGTAGCTATTTTACAACTTATACGTTATCCGTTCCATGCCATCGCTCGATTGGTATTTTTTGTATTTCAGGCAGCTTCACGAGGTTGCCATTTTGTTGTTGGATTAAAAACATGTCACTGATGTCGTGATTTGTGGCGCCATAAATAAATCCATCACCTGGTTTGTAAAGTGCTTAAAAATGCAGCCAGAATGCGTGGGAAAGAGGTTGGTTCATCAAGTGGTTCGAAGCGCCGCATTAAGAAAGCTACTTGTGCGTGCTTGATACGAATTCTTATCAGAAACTCCACTAAATATCTCATTTCTGAGTGACTAACGTCGAATGTATCGATCGCTTGGTTGTTGAATGCATCACTCTCAATTTGGTATTATCATATCATATCATCGCATATAAGTCTTTAGAGTTACGCAGAAAGCAGACATTTATGCTTAGTCTACCTTTCAAAATCATTGTGAGAGATCCATCCAGAAAAACATGCGCAATTTTTTTAACAATTGACAAGCATCCATGCAGGACACACAAAGAAGTGTAGCAAGTTATTTTGTTGAGAGAAGACAAACAAAAACTGACCTAAACTGCTCACGCATTTACCTACATCTCACGAATCATCGTTCCTCTCGATGCTTCCCAAGGTTCTCTAATTCTTCCCGCCTACAGTCTTAAGAAAACTTTCAAAACACCACTAGTAATTAGCGGAAACACGGAATGCGCTTACGTTCAGTCAGTATTCTTTTTACATTCTACAATAGAGTAACAAACCTGGTGAATCTAATATTTGATTTCCAAATTATTCGCTGGAACCAAATATCTGAACACTTGTGTGACATTTTGGCAAATTCTGAATAACACGGCCCACTCAGACGATGGAGTATAAATTTAAAGCAAGTCTTTTATTGTAGAACGCATGCTCAGTGTGGTAGAAGAAAACCAGTTTATCACTAACGTGAAGACGCCGGAATATTTGAATTTTAATATTAAGAGGCCATTTCTTCTAACTAAAATTTTGATCCCATTTTGCTATTTGTATAGAAGAAGGAAGATCAAACACCTGCTAGAATAACTAAATCTTAAAAGTTTTTACTAAATTTATTTGGCAATTCGAATGTAGTGCGTATTCAAGGACGGCGTTAATTGATTAATCAACATCTGGCTAAAGATGATAATGACTAAATTCCTGCAGTGAAACCTAGAACTTTCTCATAACTGCTTAGTTTGGTTGGGAGATAAAAGCTTGTGCTTTGCCCTGGCTTACGGTTGTTCCGATGAAGCTCTTAGCTTTTACAAGAAACCTGCATGTTGCTGAAATTCCGAAAATAAATACGTCAGACCGTAATATCCTCTATTGGTACAAATTTACCAACGATCCACTTCAAGCGCTGCAACGTGATTGACTACGTGACTCGCCCTAGCCCTCTCTATTGTGTGGTAGAAAGTGAGTGAGTAGCTAACAGTGTGCAGTTGGAAACAAAATAGAGTGAAAACAAGAGCCTGCCTTGTTGTTCAGTTTTGGGTGAATAATAGATTTTCATTAAAATAATTAGATTATTCGCTTCCATTATTCGATTATTTGCTTCCATTTCTATGCGCATTTGTTGATTTGGGCGTCACCCTCGTTAACCATCTGCAATTGAAATCTCGCGCTCATCAGGCTACTTGTTTAACAGGTGTCGTATTCTTTAGATACAGCGCTTATCATGGGGGCGGCACTTAATTATCTGTCTGCTGTAACGCTCATCGAAGAGCGGCGCACTCAAAGGACGGTCTGTCCGGAATGCGACCAACAAAACTCCTTCTCATTCTTCTTGTGCCCTGTGGGACTTTGACATGCCGAGTTAATTTACACACGGCGGTGAAAAGTTCCATTGGCGCGTCGGTTATTTAACCTAATTTGGCCAGGCCGACCTGGTAACTCTGAAAGAAATATTTCTCAGAGAATGGTAAAATTTTTGTATAATGACTGAAAATTTTAAATTGCTTCATTCACGACTTGGCGTTACACTGAAAAACTTGAATAGGAAACAACCTTTTTGCGGCGAAGCGATTTATTTAAACGGGCCCTCGGGAATGGCGCGGAATAGAATACCAAACGACTGATCAGATTATGCTCCTCGCTTGGGCCCTGTGAAGACAACATTAACCGACTCGAATCCAGGAATTTATTCGGGGTTGAAAGATGTTTTCTATTTTTGTAGAAGCATTTTGTTTACTAGTGTATACATTCATACTTACCTCGTTAGCATAGTTGTATAAAAAGATGATAACAAGAAACACACACACACGCTAACACGGTACACAGCAAGTATTACTTCATATAAATTGACGTAAAGACTCTTGGATACTAAAACTTAAACCCTCGTTTCCTTTTTCCCCTTTTTCCGACCCCCTTATACCCTTGAATTGCCAAAAAGTTATCAAAAATTTAGCCAATTAGCAAGCTTAAGATCCTACCTACAATTCTTTTTCTGGGTGAAAAGTAGGTGGCAGTTACGCCGTGGTTTGTGGCACTCGGACACGCACAAAACTCTTTGAGCAACGCCTTATTAAACGTTAACCAATCAAATTAAACTCAGTAGACTTGACGGTTATTAGCTTACAATAACGGATGAAAAATCAATGAAAACTTTGCTTCAATAAGCGGTGCATATTCTTAGCCGGCGCAATTTCGAGTAAAGTAAGGCTTTGTGTTGTAAGATTACAAACATGTCAATTCTGATCCGCCGCTTTCAAGTTTACACACGAGACCTTGTAGGATTGAAGTTACGATCTTGATGGAAGTATCTTTCTGATGGAGCTATCTTTCTGCTGATGGACCGCACAATTCAGGGTCAAAATGAAAGGACTGTCTCTCCTGAGAAAACTAATGTAGAGGCCAGACAAACAAAGAAGCCTTACCTAAATCCACTCTTTTAAAGGCAGATAATGAAACACTGATTTGTTTGGCAATTAGTTGCGATGGCAACAGCACAAAGACTACGCTGATTCTGCGAGACGGTTTGCAATGCCTCCAGCAGTCACTCTTATATGATTTTCAAGTTTTTTATCTCATTTTGCCACTCGGTGGTGTGAATGTTTGACCTTCGAGAGTAAACCTTTATTTTGTTTTCACTCTTGGTTTTCACTTAAACATCTGAATCATATTAACACAGTCGGAGCTATGATGGTGCTTATATGCTTCTCCTTGACATTTGAATTCAAGTACTTCAAACCAAACTTAATTTATTAGAAAAATAGTACCTGATCGCAAACAAACAAAAAGAATTACCACGATCAGTCAAACTTGACTGATCACCCAGTTTTCCAGGTTTTTTTTCTTCCCTCAGTTCTAAACAAAAATTCCTTTATGCAAGGACTGATAAATTAAGAACTTAAAATAAAATACTTCAAATAAATTTATGCGCTACTGAGATTCTATTGAAAACTTTGTTTCTTAGGAACGAAGTAAATACTACTCAGCGCCAAAAGTTGCTCTACTGTTATGTAAAAAGCATATTTCGCCATTATGTGTGATTGAAAAGAATCTTATTAGATGTGCCTATCGTTTTGAAAATAACATGAATATTCCCATTTTCCGTTTGAATATCTTTTTTTTTTCCGAGTCTACTTTCAAACGTTTGAAAACACCTGCTTTTCTTTGTTGATACGTAGTGTTTGACTCAACTCTTTTTTCTGTAAACTTCCATTTACACCACCAAAACCTATAAGTTGATGAAGGTTATGGAACAAATAGTGTAAAACAGATGATCGCCATGGGTACTCTCTGATACTATCAAAACAACCAACGCAGCTCCAATGCTTTCTATCGCTTGGAAAATTTATTTATTGTTCAAGGACATCAAAAATAGATTTTGACTGCACCTCACAGCTAGTCGCCAACTCAGTTCATTCTCCATATTTTCAACAAATATTCTCTTAGAGAAATGATGCATATCTTCTTTTCTTTGGTATTTAAATTTTATATTAGTTGCGCCAAACATCCTTGCGGAAGCATTGCGTTTATCTTGCCGCTTTTAGTAATTATGCTCGCGGTGCTCTGCGGGTGCCGAGATTGAGAGTGACGTTGATTTGTCCCTAAAATTAACTTTGGACTCGTGCAAAGGATGTCTCACCAAACGACCAAATAGAATCACAGATCGTTTCATTTGTTTTTGCCATGTAGCCACGAAAACAGTATGTGAACGACAAGCGATAATCATTTTGCTCAAACAAAAGAGTTCTTTTTATCAACCAAACTGGAGAATCGGGCTTCATTAACGCTTTGTAGAGCTTAGCACTGTACCATTGGTTGGGATGGTTTGTTTGGACGATTATTTACTTCGTTCCTAGGAAACAAAGTTTTCAATAGAATCTCAGGGGACGGCCTTGGCAAAGAGTCTTTTACGACCATTTTCCTTGCAGAGAATTAGTTTGGCATCGAGACCACGTGAAACGGTTGTAGATTGGAGCGTTGCAAGTCTTTCCAGATTCTTCATCGCAATTTTTTTGTAGTGAAAGTATTGGAGAATAATGACAGGTGAAGCCGAACCAGGCAAGGCTAAGGCAGCCGGAATTGTAGGCATACTTATAGGAGCGGTGGGTCTTTGCAATCTCGTATGTGGTTTCATTTATGCTGCGCTTGGCGGAAAGGATGGTTCTGGTCTGTGGGTAGGATTCCCGGTAAGTTCAACACTTATCACCTGACTACGCCAATTGTACTTAGGAAATACATGCAAAGATCAGATCGTAACCATATTGTGTTCTGAATAAGATAGATATAGACCAGGTTTGTTTTGCATAAGGGCCTTGACAACAGACTGTTTCATATTCAGAGAACATAAAAGCCATTTTCCTTCGAATACTGAGCCACTTTCTTGAATACAGGCTTATTATCGAGCGTCTGTTTAAGTAGATAATTCGACCACAAACAAGACACACTTTCAATCAAAGAATATTCAGATTCGATCGCTTAAGTCATAAAGATACCGCTAGTCAACTGTAATCCTTTTCTTTTTTTCTTCATGGAAGTGTTTTTTATAAGTATTTCCCAGATACTAATTCAGAAAATCTAAATTCTTTTGGTACAACCAAACATGAGTAATTTCACTGCTAGATTTGTAGACTGTTCGGAAATTGCCCCCGCGATTGGGTTTTTTTTTTACACCACAAATACGCAGTTCAAAAATATTGCATAGCAACGCCCTTACTGGGAATTGTAAACTTACAGCACAATTCAAAATGAGGCTCTCAGTCGACTAGCGCTGAGTGGGCCAGCTTAGAATTATTTTTTCCTCTCATCCTATTCCTTCCACAAAGCAATCGCGAATGTCGGTCGTTTATTCTAAATCAAATATTCATTGTTCTTTCCAAACATGAAAATATATCTAAAATGGAATATTTCAAAACAATTTGCTTCACTAATGTATATGCAAAATGACCCATATCTATGCAAAATCATCCTCTTAGGTTATGCTAATTAAATCACATCACTGCGTGTTGATTGCTTTCTAAAAAAAAATTTACAATGGCCTTTCTAACACTGTTTATTTCAATAAGTTGACACTGTTTACTCTGTGATGGTTAGTGGAGGCTGATAATTCTTCCCTCTGATCTCGATAATGGTTACTACGAAATATTTTCTTGTCAAATGTAAGGCTGTTGTATAATCATGTGTCGGACACTTATTGAAATCTCCGCAAATCAAACGAATTTGGTCTAGAAGAGAAGGTTTCCCGTTGAATTGGTGATCGCTTAGGACATAATGTATACACCAGAGCGGTTTATTCAAGTTAGAACTTATGTACCTCAATTACGAGTTTAGTTAGCTCTTGATGTTAATATTTAATGCCTTTTACGTTGAAAATAAACTGAATAGTGTTCGTTTCAGAGACACTTTTTCTATGAAAGCTGAAAGTGGATCACTTTTTGTCGAATGAGTTGTTATTTTGTTGATTGGTCTCAATTTGCGAGTCGGAATGGTTAAAATAACTGCTTCTCTGTTCCAAAGACGAAAAAACATGGGTACATGTATATGAAGAATGAAACGTAACTAGACAAGGATAAAGAAAAAGCGGAAATGTTTTTCCTAGATTATGATTACTTAACGGCTTTTTTTGAGGAAGTTTTTCCTTTTTCTCCGTAAAAAGCGAATTACAGTTAAAACTTGTCCAGTTTTTTTCTTCATCTTTCTAACACTTTTTATTCAATTTGTTTACAGCACATAATCATTTTCATCCTGGGACTGGTGACATGGCTCAAACTGAGCAAAGGAGCGGTGAGAGAACATTTCAGAAATATTGTATTGATTTTTCCACTATAACATTGCGCACCCCTATAAGCACTAATATTCTTTTTTTTTTTATTAATCTACTGATTTAGTTGTGGATTATAAGACTACATTGTCGAGATCTTTTTCTTCGGTTTTCAACGGTGAAAACGAAGTTTGTAATTATGAGCAGCGAAGAGTGTTTTCATTTCTGCTAAGGCAATCTTTTCTGGGAAAGGTCAGGAGAGAGTGTTGTAAATGCAACCTCTACCCCTTTATTCCCTATTCCCCCACCCCCTCCCGCTTCACTCACTATTTCCCCCACCCCTCCCCACTTCACTCCCTATTTCCCCCACCCCTCCCCGCTTCACTCACTATTTCCCCCACCCATCCCCGCTTCACCCCCTATTTCCCTCACGTTGCTGGGTGTGCCAATGTCTTTACTTTCCCAGGGAAAAATATGCTCTAAGTCCTTTCAGGAAAGTCACTGATGAATTTGCTCTTTAATTTCAGCTCATCGGTTACCTGGTACTGAGCATTCTAATGCAAATTGTGACCATTGTTTTCGTGATTATCTGCCTGATTGCCTGGCTTATCTGGCACATAATCCGAAAGGTGGTGGAGTCAGAATGCGCACAACAAGGAGACCAGTGCGTTTGCCATGCTGAGAAGAAGGTTCCAATCCCAGGTCGGTAAAACGAAAACTCTAAATGCTCTTGGTATTGAGCGACAACTCTTACAGCTATCATTAGCTGGCAAGGCACCCCACTTCAAGCACATGACTCTTTTAGCAAGTTTTCAAGAAAATGTTTGAAGAACACAGAATTTTATTAATGCTTGGATGTAACGGCAATTTCTGAAAGCTGAAAAAACCTGGGAATTGATGAGACAAAGGGAGGACTAGAGAATCGACCCGTGGATCATAGGCGTGATGGAGCTACATTAACAGAGGCGACTCAGCACATATGAAAAAAAATTGCTTCCATCTGTGATTAGCAGTTGCTCGCAAGTCTTAGTATCAAAGTTCGCTTGTACTTTTCCGATCATGAAAAGTCTTCTGGCCTTGTTTTCTCAATTTCGTCAAGACATTTTAGGGTCTGAAATTAACGAAACAGCATTTACGTAAACAACACATGCTCACTAAGGCATGCGTGGTGGCCATTATAAACTTTTGTGCTCTAACTGTCTACTTTCTTTGTCAACAGTTGACAAATGCAGTCACATCAATACAATTGAAAGCTGTTTTGCCTGCATGACGTTCGTTAACATCATCGGAGCCATTTTGCTTCTTGCTGCCTCTATCATTGGCTGTATGGGAACCTGCTGCGCCAAATCTGTAAGTCACGCAGCTTAGTTATTAAATATTAAAACTTCAATAGACCTGAGTTTAATTTCGTCTTGGTTGTGAAACATCAATTTCCTTGTTAACTGATTAATTATGCAAGGTTCAAACTTGTTTCATTACTTTTGCGGTTTCATTTAATAGGATACCAAAATCTCATGTAATGTGGTGTTATGTTAGTAAATGTAATGTTAGCTCGGAAGTCTAGTCATGGAAGTCTAGTATCTCTCGGTTTCAATCTTTGCCAAGATGATTCAGAGAAACCTAAAATATCATCAAAGTAATAGAAAAACTACGAAATCTCTCTAGTTACGGGATGTTGATAAGTTACCCTCGTAACTTTTTGTTGACTTTCAAACTTTTTTCTGACCAAAGCACTTAACCATGCCAGTACACGGCATAATACATAAGAAAACCATAATCTGTTTGGTGGCACTTACCTGTATGGGTAACACCAGGTAGTAACTTCCCGAGAGTTTGATTTTTCCCGGTGGAAAAATCCGTGGGCTAGTCCTGAAGTGGTCTTGTCTACCTGTTCGAATCTCGTTTCACCTGGCCGGAAAACTAGAGCACCCATTTGTACTTATCCGAATTCATAACATTTTTATTTAAACAGGAAACCAACGTAGTTGTTGTGCAACAGCCTGCTGTGGTGATGACGACTCAACAACAAGGTCAAGCTCCACCAGAATACCCTGAAAAGCCAGGTTACTAAGTGATCTTGTCTCCGCTAGCGGAGAAAAAAAGGAAAGGAGACAGGAGAGGGGAAATACAATGCACTTAAAAGTTCAATGCACAAATTACAAAAAATTTCGCTGCTTAAATTTTAACATATATCATACTTATAGTTGCCTACAGTTCAGTGTATTTGATGTAGAGCCATTCTGAACACAGCGAAAGTCAGTTGGCCAGCGCGCTTTGACAATGGACGACGGCTGCAGTTTTCGTGTTTGTCTCGGTGCTCGGTTTTACAACTTCTGCCTCAGGGCCCTCTGTCTCTTCCTTCCTCCAGGGAGGTAGAGCGATGGCCTTGGGAACGAGTTTCTATGCGAGGCTTGTATCACCTGCACATTTTAGGAGTTTGCATCTGTGTGAAGGCTTAAGAGATTACAAGTCAACTAGTCAACATTATGAGTCTTTTGCTGTCTCTCAGACAAAAAGAAGTTTGGGTCTTTTGAGTTTAAAGGATCATGACATCCCGAACGTTGTAAAAAGGTGTGAATTATGTTCAATAAAGAACTTCTCCTACTTGTCTACAACCAACGCTTTGTAAGTGTTTGACTTCATTGGATAACGCCGCAGTCTCCCACCTAACCGAACGACAGCTGTATATCTAAATCGTATTGTGAGAAAAAAGATCGAATTATTTGATTTCCATGAAGTATTGGAAGATTCCACGAGTATTAAGCTTTATGATTGCCTACAGCGTTTCTCTCGCACTACTCTGGTCTCAAAGCATCAGAAACATGTACGGTTGTTGTTTAAGAAGTCAGGTGCAAGATAATCTTTTCGCAACTACCCAATATAAACCCTCCCCGCTTATTTCTCTGTCTATTTTAAAAAGTGCATTTTGAAAGAGTTCGTTAAAAGCGATATATTCTCTCGCCACACAGACATTCCCCCCTACTTCTTTCCTCACAGAGATATTTTAACCCTTAAAAAAGGGCGCCAAAGCAAAGACACAGGTAACCCAGGCAGTGTGAAGACCGTTTGAATTTGAAGTATCATTTAAGAAGCCAAACGGTTTCAAAGCAGTTGCAGAAGCGAGCCTTACAGCAAGACACAAGCAAGTACGTCATTCTTATCTGGATTATTTTCAAAATGACACACTTTGGCGTTTGTAAATTTTATTTACTGACAGTACATCTACGGCCACTAGAGAGCCTGGGATCCTGTGGTCAACACTGTGGTCAAGAATTGTGAGGCAGTCTGCCACAGCTCACAGAAAGTTTATTAACTTTCGCGCTAACTGTTTTTCATCAGTTGTGAACGTGAATTCTTTTCCTTAGATTCACAGTTCTCCTGACGTTTTGTGCTTTCGTTGCTAAGCTCACAACTTGACGATTATTTCTTGAGAGCGAAAATGACTGATCTTGTCGAGCGTGGCAAGGCGATGGCTGCTGGCGTCATGTCAATTTTCATTTTAATTACCGCAGTCGCCGACATGATATGTGGAGCGATTTATGCTTTGATAGGAGGGATACATGGATCTGGACTTTGGACAGGATTCGGGGTATGGCATCTATTCATGTGTGTCTTGATTATCAAATAAAAAGGAATTGTAAAACGTCAATTGAAATTGGTAAACAAAAATAACGGTTTGAATCTGCTTTACGTTTTCAATACTGGACGCCAGTTAACCCCAATAATGATGTTTTTTAATCTAAAATTGTTCATACAAAGAGTTAAATGTACATTCATCCCAACTTTCATTGATCAGAGGGGGTGGCAGGGCTGAAATAAAGTTAAGAAGTAGCTAGTCTCTCAATACATTTTCCTAAATTTTGCCATGTTAAAGACCGTGTGAAAACTTTTCTCAGGAAAACTACAACGGAAAACGTTGGTTACATAAAGAATTCTCGTCTATTTTGAACTATACGAGAAAAATATCAAAAATATACAGTTACTGCCTATTTAATTCTACGTTCAGTTCAACGAATTTATGTTTAACGTAGCTCAGCTAGTTCTATTATACTTTGCCGCAACGCCACCATTTCAACTCACATAACATTATTAGTGAAGCTGTATTGACATATTTTTCTCTTTTGTTCAGTTACTTCTTTGTGCAGTGTTTGGTCTCATAACGTGGCTGAGAAGAAGCAAAACAGCTGTGAGTGATTTAGAGTAGATTTTTTAAAAAAAACTTATTTACCGTTCAGAGATGCAACAGGAAAAAACCTGCTTATTGAAGCCGCTTCGAAATTTTTCTTTATTTTATCTTATGAAGAGGTTATAAACTGAGCTCAGTTTATAACATAGTCTTGATCTCTGTCATGTTTGCTGTTTTCCTTTTCTCTGTTTTGAGCGAGTGTTTAGGTAGAAAAAAAAGTGCGGAGAATCGTTTTAATGCAAATGTTCTGTGGCCGGGGAAGGATTACAATTTGTCTGAAACAGTTACAAGAGACCCTATATCAAAGAGAAATTTTCCTGGGAAAAAAAAGAAACTAAAAAACCACAAGGTTTTCAATGACGTTGGATTAACCAGTCTTACAACTTTGAACAACTTTAAAGGGTTCTTTCAATCTTCTTTACCTTGGCATCGAAACACTTGACGGGAGCTTACATGATATACTGTCCCTATGCAATTTGATTGGCTGATGAATCTGGCTTTTTCTTCACGCTGAGATGCCATTTAAAAATAAAATGGGGCGATCACGGGCAAATAAATGATATTGCTGAGAGTTAATACAAGCAATAAGTTCTCTGATAATCGCAGTGGAAAGAAAGAGGGAGTTATATGTTACTCGTTACTTTTTGCAGATGGCGTTCTTCCTTGTCCTAGACATCCTGTGGTTTGTTGTGTGTGCGGCTGGGACCGGAGTCTCATTTGGGCTTCTTACCTTACTTACCATTCTAAAAGGGTTGATGGAAGAACACTGCAGCTTGAATGCGGAGGGAACATGCCACTGCAGTGGAGAGTATGATGTCCCAATGAACAGTAAGCTTCTAATACATAATGTCCGACGAGCATTCGCGTCTTTTTAAAGGAGGTTGTCCTAGGGTGGCTTCCTGTGAGTGGAGGATGTACAAAATAGGTTTCATGTAACTTCAATTTGAGCAACAAGTATAACGTGAAATTTTCAAATCGATCGCTTTTATCTGATCTGAATCTACGCCTTCCTCGCTGCTTACTGTAAGGTGTAGCCTTCTCAATTTGATATTTTGTTCATTAACCCAAATGATTTTTTTTGCTTATTTCTTCCATCTTGAGAGAAATTTGCGCATCGAAGAGAAATACTCAAAAACTTTTGACACTATTTAAGCGAAGAGCCAATAAGCCAACTAAATTGAAAGGTTGACGTTACAGCAAACAACACTTCGACGAGCTAGTATGTCGACGGACATTACGGCTCCTTTTATGGCCAGTGCTGTTATTAGAAAATAAAATACATCAGACCCTATATGCAATGGTAAATGTATTGAAATAACTGATTAACCTTATTCTACCATTCTTGCAATTCAATTTTCAGTGGATGACTGCGACAAAGTAACAGCAGCCCAGCGCTGTATGTTTGCTATCTTCGTGTTGGACGGCATCGGAGCCCTCCTTGCGCTGGGTGGTTCTATCATTGGTTGCATGGGAGTCTGTTGCACTGGACAAGTCGTGAGTGACATGTTTCCTAGACAGTTGTACAGTTGTTTCTTGGGATGTCAAACCCCCCCCCTCCCCCCATAACCACCCCCCCCCCTCCTCACTCATTCAAAAGAGAAACTTTTTGTGGTGAGGACTGGAGTAGGATTTACATTGCGTGACATTTCAAGAACGGCTTCTTTGACATTCTATGACCGTTGGTTACGAAAGCTCTTTGCATAACGTCGTTCTCTGTCAACAGACGAATTTGATAATTTTTTCTCTGTTTGTTTGTTTTTTTTGTTTTTATCAGGCGACTACAGTTGTTGTTGTGGAGCCCTCTGGAGTGACGACGCAGAAAATGAACCAAGGTGCACCTCCCCCGGAATATCCTTCGATCCCTCGCTATAAATAGTTTTGAACTTTACCAGGAACGCATTTGTCCGGGGTGGGAGGATGATCGTACTTGTGGGGATGCTTTTGTTCTCATAAATCATTTTGCAGTTTACGGCTATTCCAGTTTCGCTGTGACTTTTCAGATTTCATTGAGGGGCCAACCATCAGTCCCAGGAGATTGAGTTTGGGTCAGTTACTTATTCATTCCTTTCGTCACAGTTGACGTTGAAGAAATATTCCCTTCACATTAGGAAGCAAATTTTTTTATGAGCATTTTCATTTTTTTTTCGCCAATACCAGCTTTTTACGCATAAAGCGGCGTTTTTCTTTTGGCGCCAATCCGATGGTAAACCGACTGAAAATTATATTCTATCCCTTTCATGTTTGGCCTTCCAATGTGATACTTTGTACCTAATTTATCTGAATAAAGATCGGTACCGACGAGAAACAAACCCCTGTGACGAGTGTGTTGAGCTTTTCGCAAAAACGGATCCCCTTAACTTGCTTTCTTTGCGGGCTTAGGCATTATAATAAGCCACTGTCTGGGAACTGAGCGGAGGAACGAAGATCGGACTCGAGAAGGCAATTAAAATAGAGTACTCGGCAACTGTGATATCTGCGAAAAAATAACATTTTCATACTTGCATGTTCTTCTTGATTTTGAGTGGAAAGTGCAGCTGTACCCGCACGCTACAGCTGATCTTCACGAATAACTTGATCCCCGTCCCTTAGTCCAACTTTAATTGTTCCAGGTACATGATTACCGTTTCCTTTCCCATCGCTACCACAAGTTTTCCGATTCAAAGCAGTCATCATTATAAATAGCCCTATTTTCATCTCCGCTATTTATAAAACTTCTGATACTCAGCTGAGTGGTTGTTGTTTTCAGTTTTTCTCTTGTTCATCGTTCCTGGGATTCCGTGGTGATCGAGGAATGCCCAGCAACCAGGCCGCTGATTTAAGGCCAGGCTGCTGATTGAAGTGCGGAAAATATCACCCGTCGACAAAATGTAGGGGGCAACCAAGGATATAAATACGTTGGGAAAAAAATGACCGTGTAGACAATATTATACAATGACGCATTTACTCTTCTCTTGAGTCTGCCCTATATATTTCATTTTGCTTCGCATGGAAGACGCAGTGTGCGTAAGTTGTAGTAGTCTGCTACAGAAGGATGATACACCCATACAAGCGTTATGCAGCAACTGGCACCGCAATTGCTTCAAGTAAGTTTTCTTTCGTCGGAAAACTGAATTCCTTTATTTCCGGATGCCTTTTCCCTAACACAATCTTTCTTTAGGTGTTCAGAGTGTAAACGGCAACTTTCGTCTACGTACTATGCCCGTGGAAAGACGCTTTACTGCAAGAAGGACTACACGGAAAAATTCCGATCTAAGTGTCACGTCTGCGAGCAAAAAATTAGTGGACTTGTAGTGGTGTGTGCCATAATCTATCGTGTTACATTTAATTCGTGTTGTTACTTAAGTCTGCTCAATTGAGTGTAAATCTGATACTGCTTTTGTGGTCTTAATTATCTTGTAAACCATTCATCCACCGCTTGTACATTGTTGGCAATAGTTTTCTCCGTTGTAGAGGGGCGAATATTTCATTTGAGCTTCATTCACTGATCCAACTCTTTCCATCGCAATTTATCGCTAATGTTTGGTATATTTCTTAATTTACCGATTTAACACTTCTTAATCTTTATAATTTTCCGCATCATAGAGTGAATGTACATCAAATTTTCATTTTGTCCAGGAATGCTACAGATTGTGCCATTTCAGTTTTCAGGAACTTTCCCTAATTTCAATTAATATGCATTTTTTATAACAACAACAGGAAGTTATAACTTCTTCACCTGCTGAGTTAAAAAAAATATTTTGGTGTAGAACAGGATTTCTGTAACTAGTCAGTAGAATTTAATGTGTACAAAATGATGTAATTTGCATCTTTTTGTTTAATATCAGTATTGGTTAGTGAACAGAAATCAGTCATTTAATTACTGATAACTGAAAGGGCAGTACCAAAGATTGAAAACTTGGTATATTAAACCAAAATTTTTCAAGTTGGTGATTTGCAATCTCCATCAAGGTGTACTATTACCTCTTACAGTAAGTGCCACCAAGTCTATGGTACTCAGAAGTTGAATACATGAACATGTAGTTACACATATGAAAAGATAGAACAAACTTCTTGTATTGAATATGTTTCTTCTAAATTTTCTCAATCAGGTTGTAGCTGATCATAAATTCCACACTGAATGTTTTTCATGTGGAAACTGTCAACAATTTTTGGGAGAAGAAGATGATTACGTCCTTCTTGAACAACATAGACTGACATGGTATTATGTTTCATGCAATTTAGTCTATGTAGTTGTAAAGTAAAATTGCAAATATTGGAGTACATGAAAAGTGACTCAAAGATCATTCTCTATACAAGTATCTACCCATAACTAATGCTCTATTTAGCTTTCCTCTTCTCTCCTTCCTCTAATAAACAAAAAGTTTACTCAAAAACACAGGTATGGGGTTTTATTTGGAAGCCTCTCTTAGTTTCACCCTGAGAGACAAAAAACAATTTCATGTACCTTTTGATAATTGTATTACAGTGCAACAATAATCCAAACATTTTTTCTTACCATATTTGAAATACTTTTAACCCTAGCTGTACATGTTTCACAAAAGGAAAAGAAGAGTCTTGGTGGAATCCTTCTTTACATGCTGTTCATCACTTAAATCTGACTCCTGGAGCTTTGAGCAATCATAAAATTGAAGTAGAAATTGTGAAGAGGGAAAGAAAGAGGTCTATAAAATCTAGAAGTTTGGAGAAAGAACCTGAGACGTCTCTTGTTATCAAAGGGTATTCTTATTTTGTCACACAACTTTTCTGCTTCAATATAGCTTGTTGATTTATACAAATAAATTATCTACCTGTGTGTAATCTCGAATATCTTTTTTGAGTGCAAAGTATAAAACTTTTTATGGTATATAACTTGTCTACTATTTTAATACCCATGTGGTATTTACAAATTGTGAAAAAGATTATGGAGGTTTAAAATATTTGGTGCTTTTTGTTTATTAATTTTTCTCTGAAATTTACTTTAAATTTGGTATGCACAATGGTACAAAATTGAAAATTATGTTGAAAGTGAACTTTTTGAGAGGCTTAAACCTGTATTGAAGAAAATGTAAACAACTGGATGAATGTCAAATATATTTTTTCAGTCTATCTATATTTTCAACAGGTAAACATAGAGAAAATAATAATCCTATGATTGTCCTGAAATACTTGTACTTGGTAGTCTTACCTGTACTTTAATATATTAAATTAGAAATGTTTTATCACCACAAGGTTTAAAACAACCAAAAAGTCACAGAGCTGTGATACATTAAATGTCATGGTTGGAGATGTGGTACTGGAGGTCAACAAAGTTTTTGTGTCTCCTTCTACTATTGATAAGGTAAACAAAGAACTGGTAATTGATCTAGTGATCAGTGAGTGAGGTCAATTGGGAAATGTTTAGATAACCAGGCAAAATCTGAGGTGGTTTAGAATTAGCTATTTGCTTTTAAGATATTGTGAAACCTGTTGTAGGGAAACTTTGCACTAAGGATATGTGTCACACTGGATATACAACAAGAGAATTCCTTATATTTGCAAAGAAGAAGGGGGCTGAGAATGACTTATTAAAGAAGTAGCCTGAATGAAGTGTATGGTTGTTACAGACTTAGAAAAATTAAGCTTCTTATGGTTTTTCAGTTGGATATCCTGTGTCATTTAATGCCAGCAAGAGTTGTTTGGGTTTTGGCTGAACACAAGTTCAACTCTAGGCTGTAAACAGGAAACAAATGTCAATCATATTTGAAAAACTTAAGATGCAATTTCTTTTTAACCCCTGTAGGTTGCTTCTCTCCTGACGTCCCAGTCAAATGAGATCACTGAAATTACCCTTGAACGAAATGCAAGTGGACTTGACCTGAAACCCAAACAGTGCAGACTACTCAGTGTTGATTCTGATGGTGAATCTGGGGCAACTGCTGAAGATAAAAGCTTTCGTAACAGGTCAATATCTCTATTCTCCAGAAGGGAACTACGGCGTTGTCAAACATCAGCATCCTCAGAAAACCCCCAACTCATTAATGGGGAGGGAGATTCTTTGAAAGATGCTAGTGGAAAGAAGATAACAAAGCCTGCTATGCGATCAAATTCACTTCCAAGAAGGTAATTCTTTGGTCTGGTTTTCCCTGAGAGCTAGTCACAAAAATTTAATGATGACAAGATAGCTTCTTTAAGCTTTAAAATGAACTTTTATATTTTAACCACATCTTTTTCAGCTGAATAAGCCTCTTTTAAATCTCTTTTGCAAGTTCAAGGGTGGATGCTCAGCTTGGTTGTGCGTTTTTGTACCTCTGAACAACATTAGAGCAAATTTTGGTTGTTTATTTTTCTCTTGATCTGGACAAGCCCTTGATAATTTTTTGGTGTCTAATTTCTTTCCTTGGTTTTTTTTTTTTCAATAGTAATTCATTGTCTGACAATTTCAAGTTACGATCAGCAATTCACAGAGCTCAGTCATTCAAGTCAGAGACTGCTGCCAACAGGTAATACTCAGCAATGTTGTGTTCATTTATCTCTTTACTTATTTGCCAAAATTTCCTCAAAAAAACTTTCAGCCCAATTCAGGTTTTGCTGGTTACATTAGGTACATTTGACTTCAATTTGTGGTTTAGTCAAAATGCTCTGTAGATTAACTCCTTGAAAATTTTCAATTTTCAACTGTAGTCCAAAGCACTTCCCTTTTTTATGTCTTGCAGGCTTAACTCTATTGCATGACTTGCTTATTTAAATGTTTTTTTTTTTTCCAGAAATTGTTCTTAAGTTTCATGAGCAAATGAAAGGATTGGTTGTCTTGTTTTCCTACGACTGACTGCTTTTGACTCATCAGTCATATTGAGAAAACCAAAATTAGTAAAAATCATTTCTCAAACCCATCAAATACATAGTCAGGGGGTAGGGTAA